TCTATTCAAGAAGTAGGCGCTGTCGCACGTGACTCGAATGCGTTAATTGGAAATTTAAGAAGTCATATTGAAGCATCATGGGACCAGCATATGAAGGCTAACGATGTTATCAACAGTGCTAACTAAGTAATTGAAGCTGTGGTGTTTTTTCTTCATTACTGCCAGCTACTTGCAGTTCAGCTTAAGAAACAATGAGAGTAAAGAAAGGTTATATTGATGTAAGGTGTGACCGGATGGTAATACTATACTCTGCATCGTCATTACCCTCGTTTTCTCATGTTGTTTCAAACTTTCTCTCCAATAACTCATTTTCACTGCGGAATAGAACAACATTTCTCAATGAAAAGGAAATGGTTGTAACACAGGGAAACATGCTCATTGCCTACGTCACACGCACTGACCTGATGATATAGTATTGTAAATCCGTAGACTTACTTATAAGGTACAGATAAAAAAAAATTTTAAATGATCATAATATATTTGGATAGGCTTCCAATCGGTGCTGATAAAAAATAAAAATGGACTTTGACTTTCAAAATTTAAAACGGTATGCATTTGCCAATTACGGAGATCACACAACGTTTCTACGTTCCCTTGGTGGAATCGCCATACCTGTTGATAAAGACAATTAATTACTGTGTATTATATACGATAGAAAATTAAATTTCAACCAATTATTAAATACACTTGTTAATACCTTCATATCAAACATTGGTGACAAGAAATATCAACCATGGCTGATACCTACAACAAGAGTGACACCAGAGGATAGTTATGTATTTAGTACTCTGTAAACTTCCATTTGTCGTGTCGTAAGTTCCTTCTTTGAAGGTCTAGTGTTATCTGGTGCTATTGATCGTTTTGTAATTGTGTTTCAATTTTGGAAAACATTCATAATTCAGTATTAAACTTCCGCGGGAACTCGTGTCATTTTAGGACAAGAGTCTGTTTCTAATGACATAATTTGGGAAGATTCATTCTAATGACCGAGAAAACTATTTGAAATAAGGCATAGGATGCTTAAATCATTAATTTTGAGATGATGTTGTAATTGAAGTAACTATCAAGTGGTTCAGTGCTCGGCATCGTGGCAAATCTTGGTAGAAGGTCCGTCGAACGCGCCTGAGATGACCGGTAAGGCAGTCTGTTTCCCTCACGTGATTGACCATTCCTGCCGCATTTACCATTCTGAAATGTTAATCAACTGGCATTTTAAAAAAGTCCAGAGGAGGTTATGATCTTTTTAATGTCAATAACAGACTTCGTCGAGTAAAAGTAGGAAATGGATATTATTTAATTTTTGGTAGAAATCCCGTATCATATCTCTTATCCAGTGACCTAAATCTGCTGGATGCTAAACAAGTACGTCCTGGTCAAGGCACAAATTTTGCATGTTTCCATGTGAAGTATTCAAGTTTACAGTTATCGGCATTTAGGTCATAATTATGAGAAAAAAAATTCTTGCAAAATATGCAGTGAAATTAATTCTGGATCAAAACCCATGAATAATACAATAAAAAGAAAAAGAAAATAACCTTTAAGATACCTCTACTGTAAGCAGTCGTTTTGGATGACCAAGTTATCAGAATGAGAGTTTCGTTAATTGTGTACTCATAGAGGTGAGGAAATGTCTGCTTTAATGAAAACCCACAGGAACTCTGAAACTAAAAGGCGCGCATTAAATAACACGCATTTAACACACGTCATTAAGCATGTAACCATCTAAGTGAAATTATTCAGGGTACTTGAATATACTTTTCCCTTTGAGATCTCTCTTCGAGCAGGAAGACCCGGAAGTGCACAGGAACTGTAAAGGATGCCTACGAATGCGTAAAGTGAACATATACATGTAAGATGCTATTGAATTTAGGATTATCTGTTCTTTTTACTACCATGTCATCAAATGATGTAAACTTTAATGGCTGCCTAAACCCCACACAAGAAAAGTCATTTATCAGAACCTGGGGTTTTCAATCGGAATTGCATCAATGCAAACGTTCATTGATCGATCGTGGAAGAGTTTTTTTTTTTTTTTTTTTTTTATCTATTTTGTCCTTTCTGTTAGAAAACATTTTCGCGATAGTTTACATGGCTGGCCGAAATAATGATCTTCTCTTACCGATATGGTATTGTCATTCTTTGTTTGTCCAAAACAGCGTGCATAATGCAATTCAAAACAAAATAAAAACTAATATAGTTCTAAAGAAGGCAGCCTTTGTAATGTTTGCAATAAATACGAGACAAATATTACGTAAGTTGATATGATTAAAACGAATAGACCGTACTCGTCTGCTACCTCTCTGCACTGTCACATCGAAGAGTGAGTGTCCTCTACTATCAGCTATTTATACAAACTACAAAACAAGCAAACTCGTTCAGTGTTGTTTAGATATGAAAAGACATTTTTCACATGATTAGGTTCCTGTTTGCGACTGGGCATTTTGATTGTTGAAGTACATTATAAGATATGTTGTATTAAACTGTCCTATTCTCTACTGCCAATCGATTTGTTTCATAAGTATGGAGTTTGTTTCCATCCTTTTATGGGTTTTTGTTGTAGATACGTTTGTTTCATCCGACATACAATGGTTGGTTTATACCGTCTGTCTGTCAGTCGTTAATAGTCTATGATTTAGCAAATCCTTCCTCCGCCTTTGGCGTCGTATCGTAAATCTTTAGAAATGATTTATCATGTCTCTATTACTGTGATAACTCATAAACATGTAGCAAACTGTAACCCAGCGAGTGCTTGTATATGTTTATATATTTTACTGTCAATCCTGCTGGGAGACTGAGAAAAGAATACGCATGCTGTTGTCATCTATAAAGGACGATAGTTGCAAAACATTGCAATACTAGATCATGACAAACCGCAGGTGGCACCCTTTACAGGTGTTGATTTCTGCAAGTGATGATTTCCAAACGAATGTGGCATAAGTTTGACAAATTCAAAACTGCTTGTTATTCTTTATTTCGGATGACAAATCAGATGGTGATGAACTGATATGTATTATGTACTTGTTCAATACCAAGGTAATCAGTATGTATTATATTTACACAAATTAATTCGAAATATATATATATCTACATAAAAATTGTACACATTCTATAACAGCCTATTTTGTGGAGTTCTTCATGGAATTTCTTAAGTTTACCTGGAGGAAGTTACTCTTCTGGTAGCACTTGGTGTTAACTATTTTACTGCTCGGTGTTCATTGTTTGGTAAACTGGCATTGAGAACAGGCCTACCGCAGTAGAATCCGAACGGATGGCATTCAATACCAACATTTTAAAATATCAACATATCGATATGTTAACACTATCATAATCCAAACTCAAATTCAATAAAACTAGAGCAAAATATAAACAAAAGGAAGATTTACACGCTGACCCCAAGTACAAGGAGAACAACAGACGTCTGTAAGTCATGGTCACAATGATATGACATTCTCAAATGAGAACAAGGTATACAACAACGGAGCCAACAGGGAAACTGATGTGCCTCAAAACGTATAGTTCATAGCGAAAATCGTAATGATGTCATTATGACGACCGAACAACAAAAGCATAATTTCTAACAACCAATCTTTTGAAAAACTTTATGAGTTACTCTGGCAGTTGACGGCACCCTGCACGAAAATCGTGATTGTGGGAACACACTCGTGAATATCGAATCACGTGAGGCTTATAAAGACCATGGATTGGGGATACAGGATTGTTACTATCCAGAAAAGGAACATTCATAATAGGGAAATTGTTATCATTATACAGCTTGAGATAGGCTAATATAGGAGAATTCAATTCTGATGGGAATATACGTCTGACGTTGTCGATAACTTTCTTGTTTTTTTAAAGACGAGATGTCATATATATATCTGAATGTGAACTACACGGCTTGTAATAATAATAATAATAATAATAGCATACTTTATTTAAAGAGGATAATACATGTTTAGCCAAAGGCTAATCTACCACATGGTCCTCAAGTTAGTAAAATATTACATTCGTTACTAAAACTTTATATCAAAAGGTCCTTACAAAATTCGATAAATTCAACCATAACAAGTCCGCCAATAGAGGAGAACAGTTAGTTCCCATAGGTATCCCAATAGTCATCCATATATTCCTTCTTTGACTGGAGTTTGTCACGAAATACGCTTCAGTATAGTTCACAACCATATATTTATACCTCCGTTTCCTGTCTTGGAGATGATATCTCCCGTAATGACAGAATGTAGGCGTACCTACTGTTTATAATGTGGTGTGGTCGCAGTCTAAGTTATAGCTTTTAAACGTCATATTTTAATGGTACTTGAACGGCCTCATCTTCTATAGTTATTGCCTTTTTATGTCTTCAGCAGAATGCTCAAAGGAAGATATCCAGTTATTATAAGAATATTATTAAGGTTTCAATGTGGCGAGAGCGTGACTATCATTACAAATATTATATTTGAGATGGCACATTCTCTAAGACATGAAAATTCATTAGGAAGTATACTGATAAGAATTGCATCTGGAATTCATAAGTGAAATCACAACGTCTATATACCAACAACAGTAATATGTTTAAGTCTGTTAGCTACAGTTGAATAGGTGTACAAGTATATATGTATTTTCCATATATATATTTTCATTTGCGTAATGAACATAGAGTTAGCTTCCGTGATGTTGTCTCTCTGTTGACACCAACAACCATTTCACAACTCTTAATATCATTTCTGAAACGCAAACGTAGCAATTTCTCTTCAACCCGAAAATCATCTGCCTTTCTCTGTCTATAAACTGTCAAAAGTGATTCGAATAAAGACGGCAACACCATTTGCCATTAGATTTACCGTAGTACCTTGGGAAATTAAGCACATTGGGCAAAATGTTAATTTTCAACCGAGGATACCAGGTGACTCTAAACGAAAATTTCGAGTTCAGTGATAGATGGTTAATGACGATATTAAAAATGATAACTGTAATTGATATGAACTTGATGCCTTTTTTATCTACAGTTTACACTTATGCGGAGCTGTATGTGCTGTTGCTGCTCATCGCTTTACCATTCGGGCCTTGTATTGGCGCTGTACTAGATTGGCGTAGGAAATCGACAGCATGTAAGTATGAAATTATGTAACATTAAATGGAACTTTTATATGTTTTAGTAAATTCTATTAAGACTTTAAAGCATGTACTGTGTTTTTGCGTTCGACGATTATAATTACTGTAATCTTTCTGAGTTTGCATGTTAACGAAATGTCGTTCCTTCATGTACGGGAAGTTCATTTTTTGTGATGAACATAGATAATATTCTACCAGGTCTTATACTCAGCTGTTATGGAATTGTATATAACTGGTGACGCAAAACTTAATAAAGAGGCATATATTCTTGTGAACTGCACTGCCAAAGTGCAATCTACATGGTCAGCGTGACTTTCAGATTTTACTGGTAGCATTGTGACTTTAAACAGAAAGGCTTTATCATGTGTTTCTCGGGGCTCTGAAATATGGATCCCGGCTATTCACAAACATTTTGGGAACTCGCTATTTCTCTCAGTAATGGGACTCATCAAACATTTGGAAATGGTGTTGTCGGATCGCTTTAAAAGGTCCCCTCAAAGATTACCGAAATATATCATTTATACGTACATAACTGTCTCTATAGAAACGTTTCGTGACCAAAACATACCGCAGACTGCAGAATTATACAAAAGACACACATGTGTATAACACCTTTAAATTCTAACAAGATACAATATATCAAAACAATGAATCAAACTGCACAGCTTTGTCGTCTATCTAGAATTCTTCAGTGATGCGAAGAGCATAAATCATAAACCTAGAAGGCGATATGTGAAATCCCGAATCGATCGACATATTGTCAATATCTAGATGGGGTGATGTACTAACCCCATAATTCAGTAAATATCGATAATCCACATAACAGATCATCTTAGAAGATCGCAGTGCATGTGTATATTCTAAACCGTATCACTTTTCGATTGAATTAAAACGTGACACGCAGGTTATGGTATCAAAATGCCAACAAATTTCCTAGGAACATTGTACAAAAGATACGCGAACGTATTGCACCTTTTAATGCTTTAAACAAGATTCAGTAGAGCGAAACAATGAAGTTAACTGCATCATACAGCTGTTTCGTCCTTCTAGCATTCGTTAGTGATGATTCGAAAAAGATGGTTACTGCTCCCAGCTCAACGTTCAACATTCTGGCTGTGGTTTACCTATTGTCAGTACATTGTAATTGGGTGGGGTGTCCTACCGGAAACGTTCGGCAGATAGTGTGGTAGCACTGTAAAGTTGGCTTCATATTTGCACTATCACAATGAGACTTACATGAAATTCGCATACACAAGTAGGGCCGTCCTTGAAGGAACTTTACTGTTGATGGAATGCGAAGGAATAACCGTAAACCAAGCCTTTAATATCAGCAATACTATGCAAACCATTTAAATACAATAATACATATGATCATATGATATTACCGATGTGCACATCGCATGCGTGAAATCATATTCTTTGGCTAACAGACATTTCCGATTTTCAAGGAGACGGACAACGTACATTAGTCATGATTTTCAACTACTTTTATTTCGTTATAACGATTTGTATAACAATAATAATTCGACGTTCTGATACACCGTTTTATTATAGCTACATAACTGTCTCAACGCAATTCATGAATAGTTTCTGTGATTATCGGATGTTCGTTTTCAATCTGCACACAACTGAAATTGCCATTCGGCGCCTACAGCTTGTAAACGTATGTCAAAATGCAAACCAGACTTCCCTTTACAATCAAGCATTCGCTAGGTTTAAATTGACTTTGCATATATTCGAAATTGATGTTATGTTCATTTACGGTCAACATGACAACATTTGTTTTACACAGGATTGCTAGTCCGTTATCAGTTGCTTTTGTGTTTCATTTTATTGTTTTTAAAATAAGGCTTTCGTTAAGTTATTTCAAGTTCCTTTTTTATGTCCTGTTTCAATTGTCTCTCCATTGTTTGAGCAAAGAGTGAAAAAGGTTAAAGCGTCCTTATCTGTGAACATGATCATTATATGACGTCTATTGGGGAAAAAGATCGTATAAAACTGACGTAGATTACATCGATCGACATCTTTAAAAGTTCAACATAATAGTTACATCATAAAGGTGGTATTCACAGACAATATGGTGGCACTAAAAAGCAATAAAAAAATACCGACAATGGAACAAAAACATAATCTAAACTTAAATAATAGGGCAGTATATGAACAAAGAAAGATTTTTGAAAAAATAAATTGAAAAAGTACTAAATCATCTGGAAGAGTAAGCGTCCTCTGCTTCATTGACGACACCCGCCATGTGAAACCTTGGTTCATCAAAATAAATGTTCGCATAGGAGAACAATGCATATAACAAAGAAAAAAGTATAAAACACGTATAGCGTCACATTGGATAAAGAAATAGGACATTTCTCAATGACTTTCCTATGACGATCCACATCAACAAGTGTACACAAAGACAAGTCAGTCTACAGAGAAGTCATGTTAAAATGGGTGTCAGAATGTGACCGGGTTATTGAGCTACAAAAAAATGCTCAGTTTTTTAGATGCTGCAGTCATTATAATGGTTTTAGATTTTCATATTTACACATTTCAGACGACATATCTTAAACAGTTCATGATTTTATAATTGATGCATTTATATATGTAATATCAATTAAACGAGGAAATGTAGACCAAACAACTGTTTCTGTATAATGACCATGGCTAAAAAAGATTATTACACTAAGTAGCTTTTCTTTTGATGATTTTAATATCAAGATATTTCTATATGTTTTCTATAAAAATTGTAGTATTAGAAACAGGCAAAGCGCCAGTTTTTTTAAAAAGTTCCTAACTACACCTCAATACCAGTGCATGATAAAAATTCCCCTGAAAATACTTACTCGAAGTTCAACTTATGCCTAACGAAGTTCAGTAATGTAATTGAAAAGAACATGGGTATCAATAGAATAAAGGTCTGGTTATTTTACATGTTCTATCCTAAGACATCTTTGTTTCTTATGGCGGGTTTAAGGATTTGTTGTTACTGCTAAATTGGGAAAATGTCACATGTAACCATCATATGGAATGCTGAAAACAACATAGGTAACAGTGTGACATGTATTTCTAATTGTATCTGGGGAGGTAATTCTCAGTTTTGAGATATACGGGTTCTTGAAGTTTTCCCCAAACGCCAAAATGGAAAGTTAACATAATTTTGGTCTGATTGTTAATTGTTCTCTGCCCTGATGATACCGTTTCTTGATTATATTTATTTCCATACCGACTCAGACTAGTGACAACATCATTCCCTCGACGACATCCAATTGCGGGTGTAGATGGAGGTAAAAACAGCTCCTTTTGTTTAACACCTACTTGGTTCCTCCCCAATAAGAGTTGCATGATCTTCGGAGGTTGATATTGTTTATTTCTTCAAGGTAACTGTATAGTTAAAGAGAGTTGAAATGTATATTTAATTTGTAACAGGAAGTTACTCTAACAAAAGTTAGGTAGAACGTCTCCGTCATAGATACAATCATTAACAAATAGCCATGTTGGCTGTTTAGATACACGAACGTTTGTGCTGTTTCTTTTGATAATATTTATTGCTTCCTAATGCAAGTCCTCACGCACAGATCAGGAGTTAATTTTGACTGGTTTTCTTTATTGATTTGTTTCCTTGATGAGCCTGTGATCTCGGTTTGTCAATAATCCTATCCAATTTACGTACACGTTACTTTTTTATACATAGTAAATTATATCAAAACTGCTGAAGGAAAACATTTTCTAATCAAATCTTATGCCCGGCGCAGTGTTAAATATTGATGTGTACTGCAATGTTGCCCCGATGACAGCATTACCTGATTTATTTAGAAACGTCGTTCCACAATTAGAAATATTGTAATTTGATACCGATATCATTTGACTACCATCGCGATTGACCGAAAGGGGATTGATGCGGATCAAATTAGATCGATGGAAGATAATTCATCCTAGTGGCAGGGGAGAACGAGAAAATTTCCTCTCTCTTTAGTCATGTTTATATAAACATAGGGATTGAATTAATTTTATCGAATAACTGTCTTTTTTCTTCCAGCAAATGATCCGCCGATACAGCAGATGCAAAATATTCTGTTTGCGTTGGTGCTGACGTTTCTCTTTGCCCTGGCTAACAACATACTGCCGACAATACCATCACTGTTTTTCCAAGTGTGCGGATTCGTACTACAGACCATTGAGCGAGTAGCCGTGGTCACTTGTCTGTGTGCGTTTCTATCCCATGTGTAAGTATAAGTTGCCTAAGCGACACATTAGCAATGCATTGAAAACTTTCTCATCATGTCATAACTTGAAAGTATCAGCATATCGTTCTATGTGTTGACGCTATTGTATTGTCCTTCCACCTTTTTAACTTCGATCTATTCAGTATTCGGTACTGAATTATTAGAAACAGGTAGATAGTATTTCTACAGCGTGTCACCCATCATCAATAATTACTTTTAGGGATAGGCTTGTGCAGGTTTTTTTCTGCTTTCCAAAGTCTCCTTATATCAAACTGTTATTTTGTGAAAGATTATCCTTAGCATGGCATATGTAGTTAAAACCAATACAAACAGCAATGCTGTAGAGAACTGTGTAGGACTTGCTTTATAGGGTTCACTGAGTCAACAGTGTACTATATCATGAGAATATAACAGTATAACGCTAGCATACTGAACTGTCCTTACTCTGACACGCTAGCACGTTCACGTCGTTTATTAAGGAGGAAGTGCATGCAAGATGTCTAAAAGGCTATTCAAACTCAGCAATTTTATTTCTGTTAGTCATCAACTATTTGGATCAAGTGTTGTAAAAAGAACACGCTAGTGAATACCGTGTTTGAAAGCAAATTTGGAATAAATCACAACAGATTGAAATAATGAACCAAATTACATCATACAGCTGTCTCACCCGTCTACATTTTAGCACTCACTAATGTTAAGGGATCAGATTTCGAAACATATGAGACCATTGAGGAAAATCAAACTTAGTCGAAAGAAATGTCAAAGCTGGATAGGAGATACACTAACACGATAATTCAGAACAAAAGTTTTATTTATGGATGAAGAACAAGTACATGTGTTTATTCTGTAACGTCACAGAAATTTTGAGGATTCAACCACCTGCTTTGCCAATGACTGCATTCTTTATTGCTAAGAATTAGCTTGATAAATTCATTTTTGTATAAAACTTTAAAAAAAAAAAAAAAGAAAAGAAAAAGAGTTAAATCAATAAAATATTTTTAAAATATATTACCAGATATTAATTCTTCTCTAGTGAATACTTAATATCCATCAGACTTAATTGTAACTATAAGAATATTTAACCTCTTTAGACATTCCCCACTAGTTTTATGTTTGTGTATATCTAAAACAAAATTTATCTTTTTCCAATCACGTAAAATAAACATTAAGTTGGAAATTTGCTGTAAAATTTATAATTGGGTTTATACATTTAAAAAAAAATCAGACATCAGACAGAAAGATTATGCATTTTCATGTGTTCTGGAAGGTTCTAATCACTTTTGTGTGTATTTTTACGATCACGTCTAACTTTACTGCTCGAGAATTCATAGTTTAACATGATACTGTTAACCGACATTTCCGACTACTTTGTTGAAAATGCATGGAACATTTTAATTAAATCCACATGAATATCGGGTTTGTCTGAAGAAGTTTATAGAAGCATTGCCATAATGCTGGAGGTGTTTGATGCTCGTAAGTTTGCTTGTTGGTCCGTTGTATACGTTGTTCTCATTTGAGAACCTGGAATCACTTTCTTGGACTGATCAAGGTTTAACTAGCGGGAATCGTCGAAGAAACAGAAAACGTTTACTGTTTCCGAACACCTGGCCTCGTACTTTATCAGGACCGTGTAAATCTTTCATTTGCTCATATTTTGCCATAGTGTTATGAAATGTGAGCTTGGGTTATGATGATGTTGAAATGTTGATATTTTCTTATTGTTTTTGTAGCTCTTGAGTATTTCTTAGTTTCATGTTAATATGAAAGAATTACGTTTTTGCAAACTGAATGAATCTCTTAGCGCAAAAAGGTTTTTCTTTCATAACACTATGAAACTAAAGATGTATTCCTATTAAAGCTTGTAACTTATTTCTTAAATAGGATTAAAAAACAAAAATAACACATAAATGTATAAAATTGATCGTTTCTTGACGCATTATTTCGTGACAAATCACTGCGCATATTAGCTGGCGTGACATGGCGTGACGTCTTTTACAGCTAATTCACGCCATTTTTAATTATTTAAAAATCATTTATCAGTGCGCCCGTCACATTTCAAACGGAAATGTGTAAAAGTATAAAATAACATACATATCCCCTGATAAATCCGTTGTTTATCTTTTGTTTAATGTTTGCGCCATTGATTGCCAGCAACCAACACATCAGGTAAATGTAATCAAATAGTCCATTCATAAAAAGAAGATGCAACAGACATGCCGCAAGGGCGCGTGTTGCCACAGACTCCTGCAATCTTAATCAAGTGATCGGAGTTGTATGCTTCTTTTTATCGAGAAATAAGAAGGAAACATCGAGGAATCCGAAAGCGTACAATCTAAGAAAAAATGCTTATAGTGAAATTAACACGTTCATTTAAACACTGACGGAAATGAATACTTAGCTACGTTATTCCACATACACACGGTGGCCTACTGTCCGCAGGATAGCAGAAACGTCTGCATATATATATGAAATACAATTTGGATGCATTTCTTACTTAAAATGATACATTCGTTAACCAAAATTCACTTAAAAGTCAGGTCTCGAGTGACTTATGTCATCATCTTTAGTACGTTGTGTAGTTTACATCCGTAGACCTTCAAATAGGGATATCCATCATGATTTGTGGTTAAGAGTTTTTCTTTGGGTTTTGCATCCTCGCAAGTACCGGGTCTAATGATGTCAAATAATGAGATACCATTAGAGAGTGTTTACTGCGATACCACACTGATTACAGGCATGTCATTCTGTCAAACAAGTCATTGTGTTTGGTATGAAACCCGAAAATCAGGGAACGTGCCGTTAGAATTATATGTCGAGGTGGGAAGGAACTCCATGGCATTCCTTAGCTGAATAGTTTGATCACTGTCCAACTTCAATCATTATTGAAGTGTAAACATTGGTTTATCCGTTCTCTATATATGACCGGAGGGGTATCTTGTCACTTCAGTGTGATAGCACTATAATACGTTGAATCAGTTTCACACAATTACAAGGGGACTTTTGAAAATATATCGTACAACCATACGCTCTCAGTTCATACAACTACATCGTATAGATAAAGGAGGTCGTTATTACGTCACCATAGTTGTTGATGGGAATTAGGTTATATAAGCCATTTGGACGGACCTGCAATGCGACGGCCAAAGGTGAGATAGTGTCGAAAGAATATGTCAATCAAAGCAAAATTGAAAGTATTGGATACTTTAATATATGCTGTTTTCTCTGAAAAAAAAACCCTGGAAACTACAAATATGTTCACAGGTGCATGTAAGCATGTAACACTGATATACAGGGCAGGTGTGTGTAACGCTGATACACAAGACAGGTGCATGTAACACTGATACACAGGGCCGAGCAACGGAGTATATAGCATGATTTGCGAAGATTAGTGTTGATACACAGTACAAAGTCTTGGGACACATGGGAAATGGTGAAGATGATACAGTTACATATGTCGTAGATACACAGAATATGGTAACGAATACATAATACAGGCTACTAAAGTCTATACGACAGGATTCATAACTACAAGGTACTAAGGACAATGTTCTTGGTACTGGAAAACATCAAGAAATACCAACATGTTAACATAATCATAATTCAAACTCGAATTCCATACAACTAAGGCAAAATATGAACAAAGGACAAATTTACACGGAAACTCCTGAAAAAGAACGAGGAGAATGTTCCGTAAACGTAACCATCTTCTGCTTCAGCGATAACATCTGCCATATAAACCTTGGTCTTTTGAAGTAAGTAATGTGACGTTCTCAGATGATATACAACAACGGAACCAACAGACAAAATGACACAGAATACTTGACACTGTGTAGATCACTAGATAGTTACATGGTGACGAACGCAGGTAATCAGGGTACTTTATACAGGTATGAAATACAAATGTTACGTGATATGTGAAATACTTCTTTGTATGTTGGCTTATAGGTAGATTCACTGTGAGGTACTCTGTGGCATTGCTCACGGTAGACCAGCGGTTGTTATGTATACGTTTGCTACCACAATTACCTCAATCAAGGGAATAACCTGATAACGCACTCAAACACATTACTTTTCTGTGATGCACCATTAATCAGTTCCCAAAGTCTCCAAGCGAGTCTCGATCAGATACAGTTTTATATGAATAGCCTTGTAATGCGGATGGAGGAAGCGAATATAATATAGTTTATTAATGATGGGCACCAAATGACTTCTGTAAGGTCTGCATAAGGTCTCCGAACTTACCAATATAGCCAGAAGGCTTAGTATAATGTCTATGTTCATGATTACTTCGCATTTCAGGAGTGAACAGCCTAGACTGAAAAATACTCCTACAGAATCTATATGATCATCACATCAATCTGGCGGGGCAATTTTAATAAAGGAAACAGACACTAATAGATGGCATTGAATTATCAGAGAGATTGAAATATTGATACAAACATTGATTTTCTCCACGACTTACAATAGAGCGATCATCATTCTTTTGATGTCTTAACTGTCAATATATTCAGCAATATTATCAAACCAAGATGAGAAATTCCTTATAATACACCATTTTGTATACCTCACAATTAATTTAGGGCTCAAACCTTCCAAAAGAATATTTTTCTTTTTCTTCTTTTTTTTTAGCACAAGTGTTCCAAGTTTTTTTGTTCCCCACATTTTACGAGCACGGAAAAAGCAACTCAGCATTTGACTGACGCATGCAAGGTTTCTTTAATACCAAGGTATTAGAAAGTTTATAATTGTAACCATCATCACCGTGATTGGAGTGCAAGGCAACCTTATAAAAGTTATGACATTTTGTGTTAACGCATCAATATGGTCTATGATCATTCAAGTCATTAGTGCATACTTCTTTTGTTACGACTTCAGAAAACCTTACAAATAAACCTTCACATTAG